TCAACTCAATTCAACTCAACTCAACTCAACTCAACTCAACTCAACTCGCAACAACTCGCTTTGCTTCACCTCCCAACGCCTCTCATCAGCATTCATAGTCTCCCATCGCATCGTATTTCCTCGCGTCGCACGCATCACTCTACATAGCTAAGCGGCTTGAATATGTATCGCGTTCCCTCATCGACAGGAAATTATTCACCGTATAACCTTTCGCTTTTCCTGTTCGTTATCGATGTTTACTCCCGTTTAGTAGTTTCTGAGACCGCGCGATTGGTTCGATTCGACTCCACTCTTTGTCGAAACGAAAACATTCCGTTTGGCAACGCGAAACGCGCGGCAGCGCGCAGAAATTGCTTCACCTTTCCGAGCTTGCGAGTACATCGATAACGAGGACAAGATTGTTCTTCGAGAATCGGTTCGGCTTCGATTCGCATCGTCGAACGAAGGAAGAAGCGATCAAAGACTTTCGCGTGGCGCGATAAGTGCAACGATGCGTACGGCGATGCTGCTCTCGACACGTTCCGGAACGATTTGACCGGCGAAATGTACGTGTGCGTACACGCGGCTAGGAACCGCGACGCGAGAACCAAACGTAACGGATCTGATTAAACGGAGCCGGTTTCTCTTTTCGTCCTCTTGATCTCGCCTTCGCTCTCGTTCTCGTTCTGGCTTCGTTCTCTGTTTTCCGTGTTTTCGAGGGGCGAAAACATTCGATAATTCAACGATTAGTTGAACCGATGAATGATCAACGCCAAAAGCATCCTTCTCGGTTTCTCGTTGTTCGCGTTCTGATCGGATAACGATCAAAGATATTTTCGGGTTTTCGATTTCACGGTTGATAGCCACTGTTTTCCCAAGAGTTTCATTAATCTGACCGCGCCTGCAGGCTTGTACTGTATCTTGGCAACCGTGTGTACTGTATGCATTGTACAGTGTGTACGTCGGATCGTACAAAACGTACACGATTCCTTCGCTTCTTGGCGAAATTCTCCCCTTCCTTTTCTCTACGTTCCTTCCCTTACTTTTCTTGCTTCTCTTTGTTCATTCTCTTTCTCGTGATTTCGGCGCGAATAACGGCGAAAGCTGCGCGTTACTCGATTTCCGAAAGGGAATGCAAGGCTCCAAAAGGCTTCGTCGATTTCGGACGTTTCTGCTGAACGTACGGTCGCGCTTGTATCGTGTTTTACACGGTCGATCTCGTATACGGAGAAAGAATCGGTCCGAGTTATGGATTGGGATTTATAGAGACGATCTCTAGATCCATTGAAGTTCGGGTGGATTTCGGATCGGTCCTAGGGGTTCTTTAGCGATGAAAGGAACGAAGATAGAGCAGGAGAGGAGCAGAGCGGGCGTAACGAGGAACGGGATGAGGAAGGTCGGTACACGATGGATCTCGCCACGCTCGGAACTGTTTCGAGTCGTGGACGTTATCGAGTCAAAACGCTGCTACGGCTAACGGAAGATGTTAACCTTTCGCTCCAAAGCTATCTTACCTGCGGTACTCGTCGATGAACAATACGACTTCGTTTTTCCTAATGTTTCGATTCTTTGAATGCGTCGAATTCGACGCTCGCCGTCCAATACGCCGAATTATGGATCGGATATCACGATCAATCACCGAACCGCGTCCCACGAATCGTTTCGAGCTGATGTATCCGACACGACGCATGGAAAGAAATAGTAAAAACTAAGGGGAAAAAAGAAAGAAATAAAGAAACAAACAGCGCAACGCGATCCCTTTTCTTATAGATTCTACATAAGTCCTTCGTCGAAATGGCGTGGCGACTAAATGCACCGTCCATTACGATTACGTTGTAGGTATACGCGCGCGCGAGCACACTTGCACGCCTGGCAGTGGGATAACGTTTTTTCCGCGTATGTTCGAAGCGGCGCGATATCGCGGCATCGCGGTGAGCGAGCGAGCGAACGATCGAGCGCAAGGGCGACCTCGCTTGCGCGAAAGAGGTAAGATGGGCCGAACGGAGCCGGCAACCGACCTCCCCTTGGGGCTTCTATAAATCGCAAACTCCGTTGCAAGCTTGGAAGCCCAAAGCGCTGTGATAGAAACTTAGCTCCGTGTTCCCGAAACAGTCCCCACGCGAATGTTTCTGGAGCCGTGAGAAGAATCGTCGCGAGAAATTAGAATGAATTCCGTAGCTGTCGTTGCGCGTTTCCCAAATTTGATCGCGTTATCGTGGTGCCGACCAGAAGATTCGTACGGTGCGCGGTACTGTGAGCCCGAGTCGTCGTTTTGGAGTCTGGAAAGGCGTTGTTATCGATAGTGGATTTCTGTTTTCTCAGTTCTCTCAGTTGTCTTTTTTCGTTTCGCCGTTTCATGGTGACTTTCGATTTCGATGCCGACGGCGCGACGAACGCACGTGCGTGCGCGCGAAAGTGGCCGTGCGAGCGAAATCGCGAGAATGGAAGGTGGTTGGCACGGTCGCCGGTTACGGGGGTGGGGCGGAAGGGGAGAGAAGCAAAAGAAAAAGGGAAAAGGGAAAAGGAAAGGGGACCCGGAAGGGCGACTCATCTTCCGCGAATCGGCCGGGCCACTGACTGCTCGCGGATTGCATAACGATTCCATCTCATTCGAACGCATCCTCGAGAGACGCGACTCGAGAACCACTGGACCGTGTACCGGTTGTTCCACTCGTGGAATGCGGACTAGCTCATCCCGTACATGCACGTGCACGTGAACATGAATGTGTACGTGTATGTGTACGCGCAAGTGTACCTGTACTCGATCCTGTACCTGTACGTGCACCGTACCCACGTGTATGCTGTGGCTCCTATTCTCGTATCGCTGGATTCTATACGCGCACATTCTGCAATTTGCAGGCGTGTGCGAACCGTGGCACTGGTCTCGCGCGCGCGCGCGCATCGATTCTCTTTCCTGCGGCAGTCATCGCGAATTCACGATTATGTCCGTCATCATTTGCATTGCCTGTATGGCCCAACGAAATTCTCCTCACTGGCCGGGTCTATGGTCAATTGATGTCTTTCGTTAAGATGGTCAGTTCGAAATTTCACTTCTCGATTGTGCGGAACGCGTATCAAAGGGTAGACGAAAGCTGTTCCCGCGATTACCTTTATAAACAATCGAAGGAAGTTGTAGCGCATAAATATGCAGACACTAATCGTTCGGCTGCAAGCTCGTGAAGTTACTGTATGTAAATTCGGTTGACCGGTCGTGTAGTTGCTTTGCATGAGAGTATTCACTGTATTTGTTTTCCTTTTTCTTTTTCCCTTTTTCCTGTTCCCTTTTTCCCATTTCCTTTTCCCCTTTCTTTTTCTGTTTCTTTTTCTTGTCCTTTTTCTTTTGCTTGTTCTTTTTCCTCTCCTTTTCACCCTATTCCCTTTCCCTTTTCCCTTCTTCGTTCTTTTTCCTCCCCTTCGGCGCGATACAATGCCACGCGATTTCTCGGTGTCGAATTCACGTATGACAGAAAACAAATAGAGAAGAGAAAAGAGTAGATCGGCAGGTGCTGTCGGATATCGGCGTGGGACTGTCCGTAGAGCGACAAATTTCGAACCCCGTGATCGCTTCGCGTAGCGAGATAAACAGCTCTTCGCGACTTGGAAATAATCGTTTTGATCATTTGAAGTGCACACACCTGGTGCCGCGATCGCAGCTGCGCGTCTTTTGGTTCATCGATTCGACAAATTTAAAGGAATCTCGATGAAAAGCTGTAAAAAGCACGAGACACAAATCGACGCCGGAAATGTGACGCGTTCTAATTGCTACGCGCCTTTCTAACGTGCTGAATACGCTTCTTGTTACAGAGAGAGAGAGAGAGAGAGAAAGAGAGAGAGAGAAAGGGAGAGAGAGGGACTCTACGATTCGAACGATTCAGTGGAACCAAGTGATCTCGATCCAGCGGGAGAAATTGTTTGAAAATGGCAGCGGAAACGCGTCGATCGAACTGAAGAGATATTCGTAAAGACGCAAGGTGAGTCTTTTGGAACGTCTGATGCGCGGTCAATCCATGAAACCGGGAATAAACGCGTCGAATAGTGACGCGGTAACGGTGCTCGCCACCGTCATACCCTTCTAAGCACCGTTCTCCGAACTTTGTAGCTCGTAACTTTAGTACAAGTCCCATCGGTAAAAGCCCTTCGCGGACGACGCGAGCTTGGTTTATCGGACCGCGGATAAGTTACGCGTCACCCGTTATCTGACCGCGTTCGTTACGAGTGTTATCGCCTTGTGCTCTCTCCCTCTTCCCATCCGTTTCGACCAGTAAAAAGACATCGATTCAACGATTCTCGCTTCGACCCCGATTTTCAACTCGGATTCTGATTCCGATCCGATCCGAGTCCGATTTGTTTCGGTCCTCGCCCTCGCGCAGACACGCGTTCGCGCTCGAACTATGATATTTTCACCCCTTACAGTTTCCATTCACCGCCGTTGCCTCGTTTCACCAGGAAAAACTTATCATTGATACTGATCAGATACAGATTGGATCGGAATCATCGTTTAACAAACGCGTCCGTTTCTTTTCTTCGTCGATTTTCTCGCTTGACTCGCGTCCATCTTTCGTGGTAATCTTCGGCGACGATTTTTTCGAATGAACGACTCGGTTCGTTCCTCGTACTCGAAATCGGACGAGCTGGTCGGTACATGGATACGACGGAATTTTGAAAAATTAAAACATACGTTTTATCGCGCGATAGCGCTCGGTTTTTCTCTTTCCTTGGTTCTTTTTCACGATGATTGGTTTCGGACGATACGTTTCTTCCGATTTCCACGATATTGCTCGTATCTCCATCACTTAATCTTATTCACGGAAACGTTAAATCGATCAAAGATCGTCACGGTCCTGAGGGAAAAAAACGAAGCGTGGTATCCGTTCGCGTAGCGAGTAATTATTCACGCGCATCGCGTATTCGTTCGATAACGAACCGGCGGATCGTTACGCTGGAGCGTTCGTTGCTCGTTTCCCGCCGATAACCTTTTCGATAAGTCCTCGCTCTATCGAATTATACGTTGGTTCGATCCATCGAACGTTGAAATCCGTTGTCAAAGACGAAACGATCAAAAGCGTGTTCGCAGTTGTTCCGAAAGGTTCGAATTCGAACATTCCAGTTTTCGGTCGCATTCTGAATTAGCGAAACGAAATTCAGACGAAAGCTAAGCGAAAACGACCAGATTCGTTATCGTCGAGATTCCGAACTACACACGTTTTGGAAAAAAAAACGATAGCTCGTCCTTCCCGTTCCTCGTTGCCCGTTCCTATGTCTTCGCTCGGCTGTCGGATTGATCGAATAAAGACAGTATTGTCGATTGTTCTTTCATATCTAATTCGATGGTATTTCCCTTGATCGATTTCCGGTTAACGCGTCGTTCTCGGAACGATTCGATTCATCCTTCCCTTCCTTCATATTTCGCGCAAACGTTCGGGGCTTAGCGATGCAAAGCGACACGATTTCGTGGCGTGTAAATTTCCATTCGCTTGTCGCATCGTCGTTTCGTATATACCAGTCATGGCTACGGGAAATACGTTATCGAACTCTCTACTACCCGTCATCTTCCAGTCGTATTTCAATTGTCTTTCAGTCGTTTTTGAGACATCGGAACGATACGTACGCGATTTTAGCGCGCACTCGCGTAACGATGTGCCTCTGCCACATACACGCCACGTCGTACCATAGGATACCATACCATACCATATCGTGCTACGATACACACGCCCGTAGCATCTGTAGCCGTAGTTATGCCCATGGCCATGGCCATGGCCGTGGCCGTGGCCGCGGTGACCGACCAAGGTTTACGCGTACAGGTACGATATCGGGAGCACCGTTCGGTTCGTTATCCGACGACGATCGCCAATTACTCATAAAAGTTACGCCGTGCGAACAAATTGGATGGATCTCGATGATTCGAACGGTGAAAAATCCAACACTAAAAGCAAAAATCATGGGACATGATTTTTTACTTTTCTTTTTCCAGTTTTGTAGTGGAATAGGGTGTAGATCCCGCAGAGTATCGGATCGACAATTCCCTTCGACGAGCAGCGACGCGATAAAGAACGGTAAACGGTCGATCTCGGAGATTCTCGGTAGAATCGCCGGCTATTAGAATACCGCGCAACCACGAAGGACAGGCTGGTTCGAGGAAAGGCACGCGTTAATGGATACCGAGCTTTTGCACGCCTAAATAAATAACTGCATCGCGGCATCTCTGCTGTGTAATTACGCGCGCGTCTACGTTCACGTATGCAGCTACGACGTGAGTGTGTACGGCTGGCTTGCATTCTACGAGTAATCGGTATAGAAAGAAGAAAAAAGGGAAAGAAGAGGCGGATAAGGGGTCTGCGGCTATAGCAGGCCGTTCTTTCCAAATTATAGCCTCGAAAAGATCGAGATTCACGGGAAGGAGAAGGATTCGACGCGACTGGACGAGACTGGACGAGACGAGTCCGACATTCGCGTTTCCGACATGTCCGTTGCTTTATTGGCGTGGTCGATCGAACACTCGCCAAGAGACGCGTCACGGGAGGAAATTGTTCGAGCGGAATCGTAATCGCGATCTCGCGAGCCGATGGAACCGATGGAGCTCGATTGACCCTCGGCTAGCGTATACGCATAGCCTCTTAGACCGTTTGAGGCCGATAATTAAGGTAATGGCTACTTTTCAAGTGGATTTCCGTGTGTCTCGATTCTCGTAGCGAGCCAGCCAACCGCCGCCGCGCCGGTATGCCTCTCCACCGATTATGGTCACGAAGGGCGCTCACCGATCTACTCGTTCTGGCCTGGCCCATCTTTTCCTCTTGCTTCTCGCTTCCTCTTGCTCTTCTTCCGCCCCCTCTGCCTTCCCCTTGGCTGTTCCCTCTGTCCCCCCTCACACCTTACTCTTTCTCTCTCTTTCTCCCTCTTTCTCTGCTGTTCCCGCTCCTGGTCCCACAGCTCCTCGCCTCCTTCCGTTTCGATTCAACCGCCGCGCCGCCTTTCCCGCACTCTTCGTACCCCTGTAATTGTACGTAGTCGACTCGACTCGAATCGTCGATCGCTATCCTCGATAATTCCGACAGGGGAAAAAGCGGTAACCGCGCGCGCGCTTTCTTTCCGAGATCGGTTTACGGATCGGCTCGCGAATCATCGGTCTTTTCCTTTGCTTCTATCGGATTTTCGATGCGGTGTCGACCAAGATTTCCGTCGAACCGTATCTTTCGATTTCAACACCGAGAACCGTTGTTATCGCTGCTCCAAATACTCTACCCATGACGCGCGCGATACCAACAGCTTCGATCGACGGTACCCAGTTTTTTATCGGTCTCCGCGGTAAACGTACGGCCAACGAAGAAGAACAGAGGCAGAGGTAGAGGTACAGGTAGAGAAAGACGCGAGAATGATGGGACACACCCGTAAGAAAACATCTCGATAAGTTAGCGCACAACAGGCCAACTGACGATTGGATACGATGAATTCTTAGCGTAATCAATACTCTTGTCGCTGCTGGATCTCGTCGTCATTGCGAGCTCTTCCAAAAGAGGCGCGCGATTTTATACCTATGGCAAACGTTGCTCATCCAACGCTACCAATGAATTTTCAGGGGATTTTCTAACGATGAAGTACGATCGCTGTGTTTCGCGCATCATCTTTTCTTTGATTCGTCGTAACAATGATAGCGTTAGCCATAGTTGTGTCGATACCAACAACGGAACAACGGAAGCGGCGGCAACGAAAACGAAAACGAAAACGGCGACGGTCACGATGACGCTGAGGATGAGGATGGTTCGCTACTCGAAAACGATTGCTTCGATTGGTCCAAGTAAGATTCGAACCCGTCCCACTGGCGAAGCGTGGATCGTGCCAGGCGACCAATCGACGCTTCGACCGATAACGGAAGCCATAATTAGAGTGATCCGTTAATGAGTCGAATAGCCGCGACAACGCTTGAATGAAACTGATCGTTAATGCTTAGTCGTAGTCGCGGCCGATGACGGATCGATCGAGTCGCGATCGATTTCTCGTGTCGGGGGACCTTGAGATACATCCTCGCGCGACACGTACTCGGATACACGTACTCGTATACACCACTGTTCGGGTTCGTAGTCTGTCGGAACCTTAAGGAAGAAAGATATAGAAGAATTGCAATTTCATTGTTGATCGATTGAAAAACGGATGAAGATCGTATTCGGGTTTCCGCGACGGACGTCTAGAACGTTTGAAACGTTTGAAACGATGGAAATGTGTATGTTTTGACCGTGTCGTGTACTCACTCTGGATCTACTCTTTTGGGCATAAATTGTTCCCTGTACGAGCAAACAAACCAACGAAAGGGCAAACTGAACTGTTTTATCGCATACGTTTTCGTGTTTGTCGACTGGAGAGACGAGACGAGACGCATCTGGTTTCTGCTCGAAAGATCTATTTTAAAACTTGCGAAACATCGAACGAATCGTTCCTCGACGGAAAGCCCGAGGGTTAGCGCGTCGCGTTTCTCATCTTTTCTACAGAGATTTCTTTGAATACTCATGTCCGTAGCGATTGCTTCCCGTTGCTTCGCGCGATCACGTTCCACAAATTTTACTCGATCGATATGCGACGAAGGAACGTTGTTGTTTTTCTTACTGTCTTCGTGTGAGCACAGTTTCGCGAATTCAAGTTTCCCGAACGAAAACGGAAAGAATAGTCGTTTCCGGGTTGTTGTCAACTACCATCGATGTAGCTGCTTCTCTTCTATGTTTGTTGATAATCTCGTAACAATAAAGAAGTGTCACACGCGGAAGGTCGTTCAAGATAAACAACCTTAACCTTTGGGATAAGCCAAAGTATCGACTATCCAGCTATTCGACCGGTTGACCGACCGACCGATCAATCGACTGACACGTTTCCCTCAAAACTTGATAGCTGACACGATTATAACGCGTTGTAGTACTACGCAATGGAACGAAGCGAAACGAAACGCAGCGGAACGGAACAAAACAAAATCATACAAACAACCGTTAGGGCTAGATCATTAACCGTGTCTGTGGATTTCTGATTGGGCACGCGGCTTTGTCGCAAAGTGCCTCGTAGATCGTGCGTTTAGATAGCTAACTAACATTCGAAGTATTCACAGAGTTTTGATAGGATGTCTTCGATAAATCGACTTTTTTCCTACTATGTATCTAAGCGCGACATTTCTCACTCAGCTTCTTGGGGAACTCGTTGAAACGACAACATCTCGCGGTGGATATTTTTACGTCGTGTTTCGCGAATCTCAGCGCGGTTACGAGTCGAGCTGGCGTAATATCAGTTTTATCGCGGCCGGTCGAGTCGGTTTATCTTTCATTTTTACTCGAGACGATACAACGATACACGATAAACCGTTTTGTTATTGCAGTTCGAACGAATCGAAACGCATCGAATCGCGCGAGAATTTGATATAGAAGCGGCGAACCAAACAGCCTGTGAATTGATTCTGTATTTCGATGCGCAGGATGGTGTTGGTAGTGAACGGGGTCCTGCAAGAGGACATTCCAACGGATAGTAGGTCCTTGTACGCTGCACATCCGGTCTATCGCGAAACCGCGGCACAGCTTCATTCGATGCCCGCGAAATTGGTCGGGCCGATGGGTCTCCTTTACGTTCAGCAGCGAGAAATGGCCGCAACTTTGCCACACGACAGTAAGTACACCTATACGGTTCGTCTCGCTTGGCTCGCCCTCCTTCTTTCGAACTCGCATCGGATAATCTTCTAACTCCTTGCTTTTAATTTCTTGCTTCTTTTCCAGAAAACGTGAGCATCATCGGCTCGGACGATATGACTACCTGCATAATCGTCGTGGTGAAACATTCCGGTAAGCATCCGATAAGTAACCTCGTACGGCTAGGATAGTCGAGATACTCTTTGGTCGCTGGTTCTGAATGGTTTTCGAATAACCGAGTATCTCGCGATAACGACATGCCTATGTAAATACCTACTTTCGATTCACGAGACTAACGCGTCTCGTGACGCGATGCGTGATCATAGGTTCGGGCGCTGCGGCGTTCGCGCACCTGGATGGAGCTGGAACCGAGGAAGCCACGGCAGCGATGGTTCAGAGGGTAACCGAATTGGCTCTTGGATTTCCGGAGGGTCGTTTAGAGTTACAGCTGGTCGGCGGCTACTCCGATCCGAGGAACTATTCCGAAGAATTATTTTGCAATATTCTTTGTAAGTTAATCGCTATTCGCGATCATTGCTGTTCGGTTAATTCTGATGAGAAAGAAGAAAAAAGAAACGAAACCATTGGTCCTTTGTTTTTCAGCGGCGTTTCATAAGCAACCGGTAGAGATCGATCTGACGCTGTGTTGCGTGGGCGAGCTGAACACCACTGTCAGAGCGGGGATTCATTGGCCGGTAATCTATGGTATCGGGTTGAACGTGAAAACCGGCGAAATATTTCCGGCAACTTTCCCCGACAAAGGCCCGGATCAGGCATTAAGGGCTGCCAGGCATTTTACGGGAGGCCAACAGGTGCGTACTCGAAAACCTCCTAATATCCATTCCGGCTTGAACATCGATTCGGATAGACGCAACGCGAACGTGAACATGAACGCAACGTGAGCATGCTTATCTACGCGCAGGTCTTGGACGTTTACGATTGTACGCTCGGATTGCTGCGAATCGGACCATTCAATTACGATCCCCTACGGGGAGTCGACCTTTGGTTGGCTCAGTCCGATCAATTTATCCTGCAACACCTTTCAACTTCACCAGAAGTGGAACCTCCGCATTTCGTGTCACAGGTAACGCTTCGTCCTCTCCAGGTATTCACGTTCGAGGATATCTCGGCGAAGCCAAAAAATCGGTTTCGATTCATTTCGATTCGTTTCAGGTACGAGCGACACTCAAGTACATACAGGACAATCAGTTTCCAGCCGTGACCGTTTTCCGAGACAACAGACCTCATTACTATCGTCGGGACGAAACCACCGGTGTATGGCAACCTATCAGATACTAACGCCGTCTGTAATCTGCCGTCTACCGTTCGCCGTTTCGTTCAATAGACGCTTCTCGTGGACGAAAAGGCAAAGGCAGTCTCAGAAATTACCCTGCTGATAGAAAATTCAAAAATAGAACCGCGAGCCGACCAATGCTTAACATTCTCGCGATAAAACGACCGGACAGCCGTGTAACGGGGCGTCTGTGTCCACGCTCGAATCTCTTTTTCTCGCTCAACCTTGTTCGTGAATATGCTATTTTGTTTTCCTTCTCCAATTATTTATTGATCTCGAATACGCGAGCGGCTCGCTACAAGAATTCCTTTACGATCGTTGCTTATCCCTTTTGACGCGTGCGACTGTTGTCTCTTCTGTTAGCCTCGTACGGGCGGGCAACGATAACAAGAACAACGGCAAGGTCACGCGCAGTTTTCATGCAATTAACGGGAAATACCTGTTCGAACGATCGCATCGTCTTACCGTTTAGAATCATTTCGAACGGTCATTGTTAGGTACACGGTAGAATAAGGGTTAACAATCGCCGGTCG